TTCTTTTGCGTTTGCTCTTCGTGGTGCGTGTGCGAAAAAAAACGAAGGAAAATAAAATAAATAAAATGAGCAGAGCGACTTGTGCGATGGAAGGACTGCGCAAAATCCTTGACACCCCCTTGTCACCACCCACTGCTTTCCCTGCCTTGGCTTTCCTTGCCTCTCCTCTCGTTTCGATTCGTTTGCTTTCGTTTTGGTCAGGCGGCGTCCTTGTAACGGTTATATCTGAAAAGCTGAGCGTCGCAGCTACCTTGGCTGGGAAATTGCGAAATTGGGAAATTGCGAAATGGCGAAATTGGGAAACTGCGAGACTGAAACAGCAAACTGAGAAACTGAAGCTGGCACAGAAGTTGAAGAGGATGCTGCCCCGAGATGCGATGCGATGCGATTGGATGCTCAACTTACCAAACTGTCAGATGCGGAGATGATAACGAGTCTGATTCTGACTCGAAAGCGGTAACACCCACCGAAAACCCTCCCCCCCGGAGGCACTTCTAAACTGTCCTGGTAATGCACTCGATAACATCTTGTCAGCCAAAGAGTTTTGGATATCAATCAGCATGGAAGCAATTTTAACAAAAGGAAAGTCTACTAGTTTGATTAAGAAATTCTGAATATATATAAGAAATGAAGATCTTACTTTATTGAGGTGGCAAGTAACCAAGGGACTACTTATTTCAGAAATGGTAAATTAACAAAGCTTTGGTATAACGTTAGAATAAATATTATTTACAGAGGTATAACCAAAATATAATGATTTTCTTTTTTCAAAATAGCAAATGACCTAAGTTTTTGTATAAAGTTAAGATTAACATAAGATATATCCTTATATCATGGAACCGAATTCTAAATAAATTAAAATTAATAATAAAAATGTGTTCAAAGTTAAGATTAACAAAAAATATATTCTTATATCGTGCAACCGAGTCTTTAATAAAATAATACTTAACAAAAAGCAATAAAGTATAATGATATAAAAATTTTATCGAGAAAATTTTGTTATTTATTTGTTACTATATCACCGAAAAGGGTATCCAGGACTCTTCTTTGGGTTAACTTTCCCCCTAGTTGTTGGTATTATTTTCTTATTTGTGCAGGCATTTTGGTTTTGTTTTCCATTTTCTCAGTGCTCTCCCATCCTCCGAACCCACACACACACAAACACATACGTTCGCTTGCCGCAAATTTTCTTGAGGGTTATTCCGTTTCTTATCAATTTCTGCACGCACACCGACACGCGAGTGGGTGAGTGTGGGTGTGAGTGGGTGAGTGGGTGAGTGTGTGAGTGCTCGTGGCCGTGTGTGGGTGTGCGCCCGCATAAGTTTGACACATTCATATCCATGCCACAAACACACAAACACCAGCGAGCCATCTTCCAAGTTCTCGATGTCCTGGCACTTTCACTCTCCTCGTGGTTCCCTGGGTTCCTAAGTTCCTAAGTTCCTTGGGTTTCTTGGGTTCCCCGGCTGGTTCTTAGACTCTCGGATTCTTGGGTGGTATGTGGTGTGTGTGGCGGAGTGGCGGGTGGCGTGTGGCGTTTTGGGGTCCTTTCTCCGCTCGTCCTGTCCTGTTGTCCTTGCATGTGTCACAGTTATTGATTGGAATGCGCATAAATTGAAGCAAACTGCTTTCCAACCCAAATGATTCCCGCCCGCTTTCCTTCCTTTTCCTTTTTATTCTCATTCCCATTCTCATTCTCATTTTCCTCTTCCGCCTCCTTGTTGTTATATAGTAATCTTTGTATTTTTTCGATTTCTGTTTGTTTTGCTTTCCCACTTCACTTGGTCACTTCCATCGGATCGGGTGTGGCTAATATGCCCGATGTCCCATGTCCTCCCACGACCCTATGGCTAGGCCTCCCCTTTGATTTGTCGTGGCAGTTACTTAAGTTAATTACCAAAAAGAAAACTTAATAATTCAAGTGCTGTCTGTCCGCCCACCGAGTGTCCTCCCATCCTTTTGGCCCGGCTAACCGCCAACTATTGAGTGAGTGGCTGCCTCTGTCTCTAGTTCCGACGATTCTACTGATTCCAGCGATTCTGCCGCTGTCGAGTGTCTGTTTGAAGGTCGGCGCGGCCTTGGCTGTTCATCGCAATTGGACTGCCGGCTGAAATATGCATCAAATTGGTCATCAACTCGGAGATACGATGCGAACAGACGAGCGCGAGAAATACTTTTCGAAAGTAATATAACCGAAAAACCTTAGGAGGTCATTGCTTACAGAGTACACAGAATCTATTAAAATATTATTACTAGTTACCAGATATCTTCAAAAATGTTTAATGTTCGCCTATAAACATTGATTATATTATAATAGGTAATTACGATGAACGCATTTTTGTTAGGAATACTTGGCGAAAATAACCTATTCAAATTTTTAAGCCGCTGAAGAGGTGTATGGAAATATAGAACCCATTAAAAAATTATGACTAGACATTGGATTTTAAGTAAATCAGTACCTAGTACTTAACATTCGATTAGAAACATTGATTATATAAAATTATTTCCTAAAAACCGATTATTTTTTTTTTAATTTATAGTTATATTTTTTTGAGAACCATTAAGGATTGTTTTAAGGTTGCTTGCAATATATACATTTTTAACTCTTGACTCTTATATTATATTATATACATTATATCACTATTGTGCTATTAACTTAGCATTGTTAGTGTTATTGTTATTAGTTTTTAGGAGACAGGAAATATAATATATTTTAAGAGAAAGACATTTAATTCTACCTTTATATAAAGCAGTTATTGAAATATTTCGGAACTATATAATCTTACCCCGGTATTTGGCAACTACCCAAATTATTCAGACAATATTCAATTGGTATTCCTAGGCCAAATTAATTGTGATCCGCAATTGGCCGTGTCCCATTACATCGCCGCTAATTGCCAATCAAGTAGCTGCAGGATACCGGAACTGGGGAACTGGGAACTGGGTGAGTGGGTTATTGGGTGATTGGGTAACTGCATCGCCTCCCGAGGCACCTGGTAATTATCTCTCCATCGACTGCGACAACATCCCGACTCTCACTTCGACTCCAACTCCGATTCCGCCTGACTTTGCCGTAAGCTGACGGGCGAAACTAAAACACGTCGAGTGGGATTAAACGACATTATAGGGTATTACACATTTAGGCCAAGTGAGACAAAGACAAAACGCCATAACGAAATGCGCACACAAAAGCCAGAGACCGAAAAGTAAAAGTAAAGGCAATGGACGTAGGGGGAGTGAATGGGAGGTATAGGGTCGGGACAGGACGAAATAGATGAGTCGAGTCAAGTGGGGACTTCTGAGTGACTCGCTCTCTCTCTTTCTGCTGCTGCTGTGATTAAGTGCCCTGCAGCAAGTAATTCTTCTTACTTCAACTCGAACTGGCCCTAAAAATGGGTTTTCGAAAGTCCTGTTAGTTAACAGCGGACAGCGGGAGCTCTGTTAAACGGACAGCAGGATGGTCCAGGTCCTGGAAAACGTTGGAGAGCGACAGCGCATGGGAGAGCAGGGCGCTCTCCTTTGTCAGCTGCTGAGCCCTCGGGCGTGAGTTCGTGCAAGCCATCGGGTGGCTTCGGCAAGGACTCGGCTCCTTGTGGACCGCTCGCACATTCCAGTCGAGCGCCATCTGCAATTGTGGCACAGTCAGTGCCGTTTGGGGCCATCAGCAGGAAGCAGGATTGTACGGTATTTGTCCTGCGACGTCGCGTCCACAAAAAACACACAAAATCCAAAAAACCTAGCCAGTAAAAAACAGCAGCCATTGGCTGAAGGCAAGCAGCATCAGCCCCACAGCGAACTCAGTGAATCAAACGGTACTCGGTTCTCCATCGGGGGCGCAAACTAACGAAAAAATACGAAACTAACCCCATATATCTAGCTCGAATCGAAGTAAAAACGTAATGTTAAACGAAAAAAAAGAAGCAGGAAAATCTGTCAAGCATAACTTTCGAGCTCTGCCTACCACGCCCCCCGTATTCGGCCGTGTGTCCCCGCCCACACATGCGAAAATAACCGTTACACGGCCGTTGATGCTGCGCTCTGCGGAGAAGAAGAAGAAGAAGTAGGGAAAGCCCCCCCCCCTGAGTATATAGTACATATTTACCTATTTACATAGGTAACACACACATAGGTAACTTCGAGTATTTGCCACTCGAAGAAAGTGTTCCCCAAAGTGCTTTCGAACTCGTTAATTCGCCAACGAAAACGTACGGTTGCCCCCTTACCAAAAATGTTATATAATGCAAAAATTAATGCCCCCGCATTTCGGGGAGTTTTTCGCTCGCCCATTAAAAACCGTTCGATAGGAGCAACGGAAAAATCCTAACAAAAAACCGAAAAGAAAAACCCAAAACCCGCTGAAGAGTGTTCCAAAGTTTTCGTGCTACGTTCCGGGCTTATATAAGCGGCTGTTGTACTGAAATGAAAGGATCCCACAGCCAGCACACGCACCAACAAAAAAAAAAGAGAAAATCCTTATACATATACACCTAGCCACGAGTGTGCGTGTGCGTTCGTGTGTGTGTGTGAGTGTGCGTCTGTGTGTGTGTATGTGTGTGTGTGCGCAGTGTCAACGCAGCAAATAAAACAAAAGTGAAAGTTAACACACAAAGAGCGAAGGCAGAAAGCCTCCGAAAAAAAAGAAAGAAAGCGAAGAGGACAATCGAGGATTTAAATGAAACATGAAAAATGCTGAATAAAAATCCCGAGTCCTTTGTGATACACACGTTCTCGAGGGTTATTGAAAAAGTATGGGAAAATGATTTGGGTCTTTTTTTGATTATTTGATACCTTTTTTTCAAAATATGCTTCGATTTCCACTTCTTGGACTTTGGCTCTAACACCAATACCAAGGTAGAGAGAAAGCCAGAGAGGCACACACACACACACGCATGGGCTTACCACCAATACAGCGAAAGGGGCGACTTCTTTAGGTCCTTCTTCTGCCTCTGCTTCTTCTTCTCCCTCTCCCTCTCCATCTTCTTCTTCTTGCTCCTGGCCAACTTCTTCTTCTTCTTGGCTAAAATCCGAAAAAAAAGTGGCATGCGGAGTGCTTGCCTGGCTGCCCTAAGTAACTACTCACGCACACACACACACACTTGCTGGTCCGCTCGAAGGACCAAAAAGAGAGAACAGGCGAGAGCCAGAGAGCGTAAGTGTGTGTGTGGGTGGGCGAGAGAGCCGCGGCTTACACCCACGATTCAAATCGAGTCCTCGTGCTCCTTGTGGATCCCTGCGTTCGCTGTTTTTGTGTGTGTGTTTGCAGCGAAGCCAACAAAAACAACCAGCGGCTGAGAGAAAGCAGAAAGCAGAAGCAGAGCAGCGAATTATATAAATTTCTTTGCACTGCCCCTGTCTGTGTGTGCGTGTGTGTGTGTGTTAGATATACGGGATTTCCACGACCGTTTTTTTCGGCTTTCTTCTGTTGTATGGTGTTCGCGTTCGTTCGGTTTTACCGTTCAAAAACTTCGGCAAAACGAAGTGCCCGTGTGTTATCTCCTTATGCAAAGAAAATCTTTTAAAAAAATTAATTTGAAAACTGGAAAAAGGTGTTTTAAAGCTTTTGATTAAAGCCTGTTCCTAAAAGAAAAAAGATTCCCGAATCACATTCCCATCCATTAGCATTACCATAATGATTTTGAGAGAGCGCAAATAGAGCGCATTGGGAAATCGAGAGCGTGAGCGCACAAAACATTTTCGAACATTCCCCCCACTAACATTTTTTTTTGACTGAAAAACACACATTAAAATCGGAAAAATGCCCCTAAAAGTGCCTAACCACAAATTTCTTTGTCTTTGTGCAGATTTCTTAATTAATTAATTATGTGAGCAACCCAAACCCCCTAAAGAAAGTAAAATATAATAAAAGATAAAGAAAAACCAATTCAACGAAGCAAACGAATTTCAAAATGTCCAATACCAAATCCAATTCCAAGGTTATTGTGCACCACCAGCAAACGCAACAACAAACACAACAATAATAATAATAATTAAATAATAATATTATGAGAATAACAGAAAATTGAAGCGTAAAGCGGAGTGTGTTTTCGAAAAGTCGTTGAAAAATCGCGAGAATCGAATGCTGGCCAGTGATTAGCTGGCAAGGGAACTGCGAATCTGGCCGGGATTCATGCCGGATGTGCTGGATGTGGACGCAGGGCAGCAACTGAAGCTGGAGCGGCTCTGGCCCTGGGAACAGAGGGATCAGACGGATCGAGAGAGAGCCGATCCAAGCCCACCAAGAATACCGCTCCGCAGCCCACACTACTGATGATGATGGGGCCATGAGCCCATCATTACTCGCATTGAATTGGAGTCGCAAGCGCGTCTCAAGCGGGCCTGCACCATGCTAGCACCGCCGAACCCGAGGTCAATATGCGGCCAGGACCCGGGCTGGTCGTGATGGCGCTTGCGTTTATTTCGGGGGCTCGGCGTGGCAGCAGCAGCAGCATCAGCTCAGCAACAGCAACACCAGCGGCAGCAACAGCGGCAGCAACATCTGCATCTGCATCTGCAGCAGCAGCAACATCCGCAGCAGCAGCAGCAGCATCCGCAGCAGCAGCAGCAGCAGCAGCAGCGGCAGCGGCGGCAGGAGCAGCAGGAAGGGGCAGAGGCAGAGGCGGCGGCGGAGGCGGAGACAGAGGAGTTGCAACCACGTTACCGTCCACTGGCGAGTCGTCGTCATCGTCATTCGTTCGCAGCTCTGGCTCATACCTGCTGCCCATCTTCCTGCCCCACCATCTCGACTTTGCGCTCCAGTTCCACCCACAACTGCCGCCGAGGTTGTACTACGACCAGGACCACACCGAGCACTCCGAGTCCTGGGTGTCCTCCGCGGGTATTGCGGACAGGCGGCAGCAGCGGCGACGGCGACGCGAGAGCAGCAGCAGCAGGGATATAGCAGGTAGGGCAGGCGGGACGGGGACGGGAACGAGAGCGCCAGGTGTGACAGCCTCCAGCGAGGCCAACAACCAGGAGGAACAGGAGCAGGAGCGGGAGGATCAGGAGGAGGAGGAGGAGGGGGATCGCGCAGGCCTGACCGTGCAGTTCCCCTCGTCGCAGGCCTACGACGAGGACCAGGACATCTTTGCCCTGGTGGCCGAGGACGACCTGCTGTCCGAGGAGTCCTTTGATCGCCTGATCAAGCTCAACGAAGACGCCGACGAAGAGGACTACAATCTGCATCAGCAGCAGCAGCAGTTGCAGCAGCAACAGCAACCCCAAGCGGAAACGGAAATAGACACAGAGCCAGAGAGCGAGAGGGAGACGGAGACAGAGACAGAAACGGAAACGGAAACAGAAACCGAACAGCAGCAGCAGGACGAGAGCCGACTGATTGATGAGGGTGTCCTGCAGCACAGCGACCACAGCGACAGTCACTCGAAGGAGTTCGCCAACAACTACGATAATAACAATAACAAACGGGAGGCCAGCGGCCACATCCTTGATGCCCAGACGGCCCAGTTGATCGGCCACAAGGATAACAGCCTGTCCGCCGTGTCCGCCACCACCGAGTCGGCAGGAGCCAGCAGCAGCACCACCACCACATCCTTGCCAGCACCCGTGGATCTGAAGAAGTCCATTCTAGGGACTGCGACTTCGCTAACACGCCTTAATCCTTGGATATCAGCCTGTGATCTGGCACAGCCGGGCACAGCAACCGACTTGCAGGTGAGTCCAGGCGTTTATTTCTTTTTTTGGCCCGCTTTCGAAATCCTCAATCCGTTGGAGTGACTGCCTTGGGGCTGGGACCTCCATCTGGGATTCTTCGTTCCAATTCCTCTTTCAACCATCAAGTGCTAACCATACACACTGTGGAAAAACTCAATCCTGTGTCGAGTCTCTACAGACTTCAATATATCCTTATTTTATAGAGGTGTTCTTAAATAGGAATACGATTTTGAGGGAAGTAGGCTACTTTAAAGATAACATACACATAAGACAACTTTGCATATGCTCAACAATTCCGGGCTAAGAATCGTCGGATGTGGGTTGGGTTCCCTTGGGCCTCTCCAACATAATTATACTAAATCCTCCACTACAACACTTGTGTTTTGATAGAACAAGTTAAGCTAAAGAAGCCTTAGTTTAGAATAATTTGGCTATCTTATGCTGAAACTTATAAGTTACCTAACTAGTTTGAGACTACAAAAGGGAGGATAGTAGTCATTAATACTTGGTTTGGCAAAGATATTTACACTGGCATGGTTACCTTCCTTCAAGAAAGATTTTTTCTCCGTGCAAGAAACTGTCGAGCAATCGACAACAAAGCTCGGCTTAAGTGCACACCAGGCAAATACAAGGAACACGCACAAAGACCCACTCGAATGCATATACAAATTGTGTGCATTTCAAGGGACTCTTAATGCAGGCGACTCAACTCGGCAATATTGAAAGCTGCTGTCAACTGTTGGCCATCTCGATGGCTGTGTCAGGTGGAAAGTTGCCTACTTCTGTGGGCAAAACTAAGAGATTACTGGAATTCATTACTTTTAAAGTCCGTTAAAGTTTGGTAAACGGTAGCCTTGGGGTAGTTTTTTGGTGGGGGGAAGTGGAAGTAACTGCCAACCAGGCCTTTTCCACATTATTATTGTCGCTATCGTGGCAGCTACTTTGGTTTTGTTGGCTTGCCACTCAAGCTGCCAAAGGAAAAAGTGATTTTTTTCCACGCTATATAGTACATTAGTACATAGTACCGTGCTCGTTGTGACAATTGTGCGCCACATCTTCGACCACTTCAAGTGCCACGACAGCTTCATCATTGCCGGAATCGGGGAATCGGGGAGTGGGAATGGGAATGGGAATCGGAATCGTCATCATCGTCGTCGTCTTGGCCGGAATCATCAGCGGTAGTGCTGGGAAAACGTGCTGCAAATCAAGGAAAATGCCTTGGTAATTGTGCCAAAAAGTGGAAGAGAAGAAACGGAGGTACGAGGACAAACACTTTTCAATTGATTTCGTTCTTTTTCGGCTGCCTCGTTCTTGGTTGCCTGCCAAAAAACCTCAGCTAACCACTCACCTATGGAGGCCCCACTACTTTCGGTTCCCCCTCAATTGGCTCTGCCAAGTGTAATTGAGATCTTAATATTTATTAATGCATTCTCGCCCTAATGCAAATTTAATTGAATCGAATTGTCTGCCGCCTTTTGCGCCTTTCGGTTTCCCAGGACCGCAACTTAGTTGGTTCTCCGACTGACAGACAATTAGCCGGAATCGAGTTTCAACTGGCAATTCCTTAAGTCGGTGCCGCACTATTGATTTTCCAATTATTGTCGGGGTAAAAGCGAAAACACCTCCCAGCCAATGTATTTCATTTCGATTGTCCATCATTCAACTAGTCGGCAATTAAGCAATTAAATCAATCAAGCCATTTCAAGGACTACGGCTAGGATCGTAAAACAAAACTAATTAAACCTTTCTTATATGCTTTTTACTTTCTTATGGTTTCGCTTAATTGCGATTTTCGTATTGATGAGGATACTAACAGAAAATATCTTAGGTAGAGGCATCTTGTGACTTTACCTTGGAATATCACATGAAGAGATTTTAATTCTAATTTAAAAAAAATCTAAGTGAGATAAGACAAGTATCTAAAAATTCGACCACAGTTTTTGACCCAGATATTTTAAATTTTTTATTGTCACAAATTCTTATGTGTTAAGGGAAGTTGTAAAATCTACCTATGAATTTTGATAGAGACCCTACTTTGATTGTCCTTTTCATAAACGATTTCTATAATAACTCATTTGAGGAACCATACTTTATAAGGATGCTTTTGATTTCATATGCTTGCAGCTTTACGAGTTATCGCAAATTAATATAACTTTAGCTTCGTTTTATAAAAAGGGTATTTTCGATATATAGACGGGTTAAGATTGCCCTTGTCACTTTCTCTTTTAAGGTGTTAAAACAGCTTAGCAAAGGCCAAAAATGCCGAGATCAAGTTGCAGCACAAAGACCTGTCCGAACTTTCAATTAAGCCGTGTCCCAAAAAGGGCGACACGCCGGCATTCAAGCTGCAAATTAGCCAACAGTTCTTCAGCATGGACCCTGGATACGTCATGGTCCCCAGTTCATAGTCCCTGGTCCACAGTACATAGTGGTTTAATCTCTGCCTTTTGGCCCTTTCACTCTGCCCTTTCTGCCATTCTGCCATTCTCTTTCGGTGGCAGTTTTTGCGAACGCGAGTGCAGAATTTATGATGGCAGCATTCGCAGTATTCGGCGGCCTGTTGGATGTGTTGATGCCCCAGTGGATTCAAGCGAATCAAAGGCATCCTGCAGCCGAGGTCCTTGTCACTGTGTCGAGTGCAGGGTTAGAAAGTTGGCTGGATGTGGCGGCACTTGGCCCAGCTGACGAGTGCCTTTCGAAACTCAATATCCTGGAGTCGAAGAATGAGAGAATCGAGTTGCGTTGCCCTGCTCGTTTTCAGGTTTTCAGGTGATTTAATCAGTCGCATCGCCCAGGCCAAGTACCCCATAGTCCTGGTTATTTTTGCTCTGCCTCCTCTGTTTTTTTTTTTCGCACAAACACTCCAATCGAGTGTAAAAACTTCATTGGATTCATTAAACTTTCGCCTGTAACTCGGCAAACTGGGAATTGAGTTAGCCGTTGAAACCCCTCAAATTCAATTAAAAATCCTTTAGCTTTGTGCGGATTTAATTCAGAATTTTCATAGTGTGTCGAGCATAGAGTGTAGAACGACCCCCAATGGTGGGTTCAACTTTAGCAGAGCCGAGCGAGTGTTTATTTGTGTCAAGGATGTGTGCAAAATCAATTATTTTGTAAGCAGTTGCTGCTGTTTCTGCTGCAGGTTGCTCCTTCTGGTTACATCATTCCACAGCCGAAGAACCCGGGTATTAACCACCCAGCACCCAGCACCCCAGAACCCAGATATCATGCCATCGGAACCCAGCCAGACACAAATAACCGAAAACTGTCATAAATTTTCCGCCTGCAGGCAAACGATGCCAGTTCTGTGGAATATCGTCTGCTCAATGCCCCGATGTCTATATGCATCAATTGTGGTAATTTCCCATTGCTATTTGCCCGGAGTTTAATTCCCTTGATTTCTGCTCTTGGTCTCGCAATTTCAATCGAATGAAAAGATTGCAATTGATTACAGGAAATGCCATATGCAAATTATTTCGCCTTGCGCGCCGTTTCATTAAATTGAAAGCCGTTGAAAACAATGTTAAAATCGGATATACGCTGAAAACATATTTTGCCCAAGAGACTCCACTTTGAATATTTATCTTGCTAAGCCATTAAAAATGCACGTGATTGATGAATAATCAATAAATTGAAAAATGCCTTTAATTAATTGAAATTTCAGGGTAAACGAAAGTACTTTTCTTAAGCAAATAAAAAACACAGAAATATGAAATTCCATTTGTAATTTCTGATAGCTCTTAACTTGAAAATCTGTTTCAAATGATGCCATATTTTTTACTGAGAACCAATTCGACAAATTATAAACTATTGAGTGATTCTGAAAATACAATAAATTTTTAGTTTACTGTCGACATTTTTAGCTATTTGCAACGCAGCTCCAAGTATTAATCGCTTTTTAAATTGAACTATTGACTTAAGCTCACTAAAATATGTATAACTAATCACAAATTGCCAATCGACAGAGCCAATTAATTGTTGAGAATCAATTTCAAATATATTCTCTCACTAGAAAATCTGCTTAAAACTATTAAATGTTCTATTTAGATCTGTTAATCCACTTTCAACACTTTGAACACTGCTTAAATGATATTTCGGAAATACTCGGCTTTTTAAAGTATTTATGAAAACACTTTGGAATTCCTACTGCATCTTATAAAATCAATTCCAAGTATTTAATTGGTTTTCAAATTGAACTTTCGACTTAATCTCGACAGCCACAAAAACAGAACTAATCAAAAATTGGCAATTGACAGAGCCAAATAATTAATGAGACTCAATTCCGCTTAATTCCTTACAAGAAACTCTTTTGAAAATTATGCAATTTTATATATTTTTTTAAATAGATTGTATTTTTAATAGCATTGAGAACTTCCCACTACTTCTAATAAAATCAATTCCAAGTATTTAATTGCTTTTCGAATTGAACTATTGACTTAAGCTCGAGTGCCACTAAAACAGAACTAATCAAAAATTGGCAATTGACAGAGCCAAATAATTGATGAGAACCTCTTTGTGGCCCAGAGACTGTGATTCTTGGCTCAAATGTCAGCACATTAGGCGCCCGTGCAGACAAAGTTTAATTAGTTGGCTGCAGATTAGCCGGGTGCCAAGATGCTGGCGGAGATTAGGGGGCAAAATCAGGAGAACCTTCGTGCTGAAAACGTTAATTGCCAACCATTTGCATTTTGAGCTTGTCAAATGGGGCCGGAATGGAACTTTTCCCCACTGGCAGGAATCGCGTGCATTGATTGGCTCATTAGGGGAGGTGGGGACCAGCAGGTCGTGATACTTGAATGCAATGTCCAGGCTAAATACACAAAACAATTACATTAACCCGGGGTGAAAGGGGGGCTTTGGGTGGTGGTAAAGTGATAGTGGGAAACGGGAGCCACATCCAGCGCATCCGGCTAATGCAATTATGCCCAGCGCCTGAATCCCGAACACGTAGATTGCCCAGGGACTGGGTGGAGGAGTATAAAGCTCACTAAGTGGAGCAC